CCCCAAAACCCCAAAACCCCAAAACCCCATATGAGCAATAATAAAGTTCAAAAAGGAGTAGAACAATAGTAGAAAACAACTTTTATAAAAATTAAACTATTATAATCTAGGGATGATACACTCATATATTTACATCTTATAGAAATAATCATAATGATCTTCAACGTAGTTTATTTTGCATAAACCTTCTGATTTCATTATCGTCTTTTGAAAATATAAGTTTATTAATGCTCTTAGAAAGCTTTTCAAAGGGCTCTCTAATTGCATCTTAATTAATACCTGTTAATTACTCTAATTTATCATTCCATTATTGTAGATCGAACTTTATGCCTCTCTATGTTTATCCCTAACTCTGGCTTAGTATTTGGCATTTGTTAAGGCATAATAGATTGATACATAATGTTAAAGTAGAAGCTGCTAATAAAGATCTGTCAAAGTCAAGAAACTCCAAATTGGAAGATATGACTTTAAGAATTTCAAACTATAAAAGATCTATGAATAGTTCATTATGAAGTTCTGAAAGCCTCATGAATCTCTCAACAAATGGTTAAGGACTAAGAATGTTGAAATCAAAGTCAAATCTGATAAGTATCTCCTCTTCGCATTTAATGACCTTCTCCTTGGTCACATAGTCTCTTTCATCATCACTGAGCAACTTAATCATTCTATTAATAGAGGGGGTCATAGGTTACTCTACCTTAGCAGCGATAATAGTAGCAGTAACTACCAGCACTAGAAGTTACTCTTAGTTCAGAATAGTCGTGGCATTTTACTGATAAAGCTTTATAGCGAGGAACTTATCCATAATGTTTACAGCGAGAAAGTGAGTCTCCTATTTGTAACCCTTCTCTTTGCATAAGGATAAGATTCGTTTGGCTCCCTCATTTCTCAAAGATTTTGCAATTTTGTAGTCTTACTAGTTAAAGCACTTAATAAGATAGTTCCTTAGCTGATTAACCTGTTCTTATCTGAGAAGTTTCTGATATATCTCCTATGCGTATTCAGGTGCCACCTAGCTAGACAAGCCTAGTTCAAAGACTTCTCTATCCTAATAGTCACATGTCGGTACCTGCTCAAGAAGCTATTAGTACCTTTGAATCATAATGTCCCTGTAGTTATTATCCTAGTCTTATGTTTAATTGTGAGGGTCGTAATAATTGTTATTTTGATTCAGGTTCATCATGTTTTAGTTTGCTTTGGTGCAATTAGTCTTAGTTTCCTAAATTTTCTGAGAATCTGTAAATTACTATTATTAGGGGCTATCACTGTGTGTAGAAGAGAAATGTTGATCAGATAATTTCGTAGAAGCTTGAGAAGCGTGCGACCCTTGAGAAATTTTGCCGATTGTAGTGTTAACCTAAGTTTTATTATTTGAAATCAATTTTTTCTGCGAATTGATAGATGACTGATCTGATTATTTACGAGTTTTCTTGTTCTTATACTACTGAATAGAGCCTTAATCCAGACATTAGATCTAGGATGTCTGTTGATCGTTTATTCTCAGCTAATATTGGGAATTTTAGCAGGGTATATTGAAAGTTGAATTAGGGCAAGATGAAGTTGATCTTTTTTTGTTGTTATCTTGATTATGTTTTGCGTTGAGTGAACCCATTGAAAATGTGGGATAAAAAATTAATGAGTCAAAATTTAAATAAATAGTTCAAGTATTAGACTTAACTTCTCGCCTGATCTCAACTACTATTCAATGATGGGGTTTTGGGGTTTTGGGGTTTTGGGG